GATGGTTCAATATATGCAAATCAATCAATGTAATACAACTTATCAACAGAGCTAAAGGCAAGAATCACATGATCATCTCAACAGATGCAGAAAAAGCTTTTGATAAAGTCTAACACTCATTCATGACAAAAATTATACTACAAAGCTACAGATAATTGGCATAGATGGACTTTACCTCAATCTGGTAAAAGCCATCTGTGACAAACCAACAGCCAACACCATCCTAAATGGACAAAAACTGAAAGCTTTCACTTTAAAATCAGGAAGAAGACAAGGATGTCCACTGTCACCACTCTTGTTCAACATAGTTTTGGAAACATTAGCCAGAGCAATTAGACAAGAGAGAGAAATAAAAGGAATAAGGGTAGGAGAGGAAGAAGTGAAATTATCATTATTTGCAGATAACATGATACTCTGCATAGAAGACCACAAAAACTCCACCAAAAGACTTCTAGAATTAATCAACAAATTCAGTAACATTGCTGGATACAAAGTTAACACTCAAAAATCAATAGCACTCCTATACATGAACAACAAATATACTGAGAGAGAAATAAGGAAACCATACCTTTCACAACAGCATGCAAAAAATTGAAATATTTAGGAATTAATCTAACAAAAGAAGTAAAATATCTATACAGTGAAAATTACAGTACTCTGCAAAAAGAGATTGAAGAGGAGTTCAAAAAATGGAAAGGTATTTCTTGTTCATGGATAGGAAGAGCCAACATTGTGAAAATGGCCAAGCTCCCAAAATTGTTATACAGATTCAATGCAATTCCGATGAAAATATCATTGGTATACCTCACAGACCTAGAGAAAATATTCCTGAAATCATCTGGAACCAGAAAAGACCCAGAATGCTAAAAGCAATCCTGGGAAACAAAGGCAAGGAGGAGGTATCACATTCCCGATTTGAAATTATATTACAAAGCTACTGTGATAAAATCAGCATGGTATTGGCAAAAAAAAACAGTCTTGAAGATCAGTGGAACAGACTAGAAGATGCAGCCACAACCATAAAGACACTCAGCCACCTTATCTTTGACAAAGGGGCCAAACATGTTCACTGGAAGAAAGACAGCCTCTTTAATAAATGGTGCTGGGAAAGCTGGCTTTCCAGACTCCAAAGACTAAAACTAGACCCAAGCCTATCACCATGCATAAAAATAAAGTCAAAATGGCTTAAAGATCTAAATATTAAAGCAGAAACAGTAGATCTATTGGAAGAGAAGTATGTAGAAGTCTTGAACACTTAGGGGTAGGTAGAGGGTTCATGAACAAACACCAAACTGCAGGGGAAATATTTCAAGAATCAACATCTGGGATCTCACCATATGAAAAGTTTTTGCACATCTAAACATATCACCAACACAGTTAAAAGAAAACCCATGAATCAGGAAAAAATTTTAGCCAATTGTTCCTCAGACAAAGGACTCCTGTCTAGAACATGTAAAGACTTTGAAAAAATCAGGCCCCCAAATTCAAAGATCCAATACAAAAATGGGCATTTGAGATGACTATACATTTCTCACATGAAGAAATACAAATGGCAAATAAATACATGAAAAAATGTTCAATGTCATTAGTCATCCAAGAAATGCAAATTAAAACAACACTGAAATTCCATCTCACACCAGAAAGAATGGCTATCATCAAGAAATCAACCCAAAATACATGCTGGAGTGGCTGTGCAGAAAAAGGTACTCTTCTCCACTGTTGGTGGGAGTGTAGACTGGTTCAACCACTATGGAAATTAATTTGGACATTCCTCAGTAAACTAAGATTAGAGCTCCCATTGAACCCAGTTATTTCCCTCCTGGGTATTTTTTCAGAAAAACTGAGAACAGCATACCACAGCTATTTATGTGCACCCATGTTTACAGTAGTGCAATTTGTAATAGCTAAATCTTGAAAACAACCCAAATGTCCATCAATTGAGGAATGAATAAAAAAGATGTGGTATTTTTATACAATGGAGTATTACTCAGCTATTAATAAAAATAAACTCGAGGCTTTTATAGGTAAATGGATGCAACTAAAGACCATACTTGTGAATGAAATAAATCAGATTCACATGTGTAAACATCTTATTTCCTCCTTACTATAAGAACCTGAGAGAGTAAATAAAATCTGAAAGGTGCAATAGATATTGTGACAGGGAGAAGAAACTGCTCATATAGGAAGGAATGAAGGAGGGAAGAGGAAAAAGAAAGAAGGAAGAGGAAAAAAATACGTATATATATACACAGGATAGCTGGGATAATTGTACTACTCATATCTGTTGGTTTATTGAAAGGAACTGTTAATGTGTAATTGTTTTATCAGTCTTGCATGCCTATATCT